ATAGTATCAAGGTAAAAATATATCACTTATTAAAAGCACCTGTTGACCGCTGCAAGGGTTTCTCCTGAACTTTAGGATTAAAATCTGAATTTTTAATCCTCTTACTCCTAATTTATCGCTAAATTGGTAAATCTAAACTGATAAAGTGCTTGCGCTTGCAACATCAAAGTCATAGGTTCAATTCCCAAGGGAACACACTTACTGATAAAATACAGTGGTGTGAAAAGGTTTTTGCCCCATTCCTGTTTTTTCAGCAGTCACACCCAGTTAGGAAAAATATCTCAGATTTATATGTAACATGCAGCTTTAAATGTCATTTTATAGCCTCACACCTAGTTAAGACAACAGTGTTAGTCAACAATTCCCTTGTGAAAATGAAGTGTGCTGATTTGTATTGAATGTGTACTTGTACATAAGGTGAAATTAAAGGTCAATTAATTGTGCTAACAATAAATAAATAAATTCACCGTAATTATAAAAGAGTAATTATAAAATCACATATAAAGATGCATCACATATTAAGATGCATTTAAGTCCTACAAGTGTGTCAAAACACTCTGTAATTCAACTAACTGCATTTAACATAAATTTAAACTATACTACATTTTAATTTAATTGCAGTTAACATGGTTAAATGTCCAAAAACATTACATTCAGTTTGCATCCAACTATATTCTTTTAAAGTGTATTATTTCAATAATAAGTACTCTCCTCAAAAAAAAAAAGGAAAAAAAAGTGTACTTCTTTTTCACAAGGGTCTGCAAGCGAGAACACACGCTAATGTATTGAGTGATGTGAACAAAATAAGATAATGTCAGACAGAAAGACAGAGAGGAGGAAAAGAGACAGAGAAGGGAAGGAAGTACTTGATGACAAAGACCTTGGCGACTACTCTGCCCAGATTTTCGCAGCTGAATGGCATGCCAGGCATTTGTCTTGATTGTTCTTCCTGGTTGTGGCCGGGTTGGCGTGAGTCGCAGGCCAGATAAGCATCTATTATTTTTAGTGCTGAAAAACGGCCCCAAAGGAGCTGGTATCCTGTTCATATCGTGAAACACTGCCACAGAACACAGCAGAATGTGATCATGGAGGATACTCCACAACAGGTTGGGATGTAACATGAAAGTCTTTGCAGCCGTTCTCTCAAAAATTGGTATGCACAGTAGTTAACTGAGCTAATTAAACAATTTTCTGTTAAATATATATATATATAAATAATAATTATTATTATTGTATATAGTAAATTGTAATTTTTTTTAAATAAATTATATTAAACAAATTATAACATAACATTTATTTTTGGGGGTGGGATCTATGGAAGGCAAGTTACAAACAACTTCTAATTAAAGCCAGACTTTGACTAAGAAGGAATCCACAATAAGCAGACATGCACTATCAGCCATCAGTTTGACTAACTAATCTGAGCACAGCATGATTGACAGAGCCTCAGATAGCCTTGTGACTGAATTCTTGACATACAAAAACATTTCTGACTTCCTTTAAACATGCTACTCCAGGACTATACAGAAGAAGATGGTTATGAACAGATATAGCTCAGTCTGAACAGGCCTTTCAGGTTGCAGCAGCTACTTTCAGGGTGAGATTGAGACCAAGACATGGGACATTAGACATGGAAACACTGGATAATTATCTATGAATCTCTTGAGAAATTCTTACTCCAATGCCAACAGAAAAATTCATTTTGACATAAAGTGTTATGTTATTCATAATGCTTATCATTTTTCTTTTTTGCATTAATCCTCAAAGTGGCACCTTTTATCAGATTAATAGTATCAAGGTAAAAATATATCACTTATTAAAAGCACCTGTTGACCGCTGCAAGGGTTTCTCCTGAACTTTAGGATTAAAATCTGAATTTTTAATCCTCTTACTCCTAATTTATCGCTAAATTGGTAAATCTAAACTGATAAAGTGCTTGCGCTTGCAACATCAAAGTCATAGGTTCAATTCCCAAGGGAACACACTTACTGATAAAATACAGTGGTGTGAAAAGGTTTTTGCCCCATTCCTGTTTTTTTTTTGTGCATATTTGTCACACTTAAAAGATTCAGATCATCAAACAAATTTTTATATTACACAAAGATAATGCAAGTAAATACAAAATGCAGTTTTTAAATGATGATTTCATTTATTAAGGGAAAAAAGCTGTCCAAACCTACGTGGCCCTACGTGAAAAATTAATTGCCCCCTCCTGTTAAATCATGAAAGAACTGCAATTAACCACATTATTTTAAAAAGCGGAGTTAAATTTCACAAGCCACACGCAGGCCTGATTACTGCCAGACCTGTTGAATCAAGAAATCACTTAAATAGAACCTGTCTGACAAAGTGAAGCATGCTTAAAGAGCAACACTTCATGCCGTGATCTAAAGAAATTCAAGAACAGATGAGAATCAAAACAGTTGACATGTATCAGTCTGGCAAGGATTATAAAGCCATTTCTAAGGCTTTGGGACTCCAGCGAACCATGGTCAGAGCCATTATCCACAAATTGAGAAAAATTGGAACAATGGTGAACCTTCCCAGGAGTGGCCGGCCAACC